TCCTGACTGCTCATTGGCTAAGTTCCCAGTACACTACTCGCAGTGTTCTTGGTAATTTGGGTAATAAGAATCCAAGAAGGTGATCTAGGGTTTTTCTACCTCACTCCTGGAGGAAAAAACAAAGGTCTGCTGCTGGAGGGGCTAAGAAATCTCATATCCTGTCCTAGCTGGTTTGGTTCAGTAGATAGAGTCTTCGCCTGTGGACTGCAGGGTCCAGGTTCAATTATGGTCAAGGGCATGTCCCCAGGTTGCAGGCTCCTCCATGGTTGGGGCCCAGGTGAGAGCTCATGCAGAAGGTAACCAATCAAAGTGTCCCTCTCACATTGATGTTTCTCTGTCTTTCCCTTTCTTTTCCATACTCTCTAAAAATCAATGGAAATAATATCCTCAGGTGAGGATAAAAAAAAGAAAGAAATGTCATAGCCAATGAAAGAGACATCTTGAAAATGCCTAAAGAAAGTTGTCATTTTTTTCATAGGGAAGGGACTGGAGTCCATGTTGATGAAAATAAATTGGTGGCTGCAACAGCCGGCAGTGGCAGCAGCAGCTGGGTGATGGGGGTGGCGCCTTCTCATGATCAGCTGGTTGCCTCCCACAGAGGGAGACCAGACTGTGGGGAGCGGGCTTAAGCTGTCAGTAAGACACCCACTGTGAGATGTGAGTTGTGAGATGGTGCAGTCTGGGCTGAGGGGACCCCCCCACTCCAGTGTATTGGGCCTCTAGTTGGTATTATATCAGAAAAGATGGATGCAATTATGCAGCATCAATAAACAAACAAAATTAGTGGTTTAAAACAATGGGATTTATTTCTCACTCATGTTACATGTGTATTTGGGTTTCCAGAGCTCTGTCTCACATCATTTTACTTAGGTTTGCAGGATGATGGAGCCACTACCATCTGGAGCATCACGAATCTATACAGGGAGGCAATGGTTCAGCACTCTAGTTACTAAAAGCTTCAATTAGGAAATGCAAAAATTACTTCCGCTTATGTTTTATCGCTCAAAATAAGTTACATAGTTTTCTGAACTCTAAAGAGATATTGTAGTACAATTTATATGCCAAAAAGAGAAGAAATATTTGGTGAACAGATCTAATGACTCATTGGCCAAAAAAAAAAAGGAGACATATGTGCTAGTATTTGTAATATTTTAAACAATAAAATAAAAAATAAAACTAGAAAAAAAACACACACAAAAACAACTAATGCCTTCCTTGGTCTGTATTTTATGATCAAGATGCCCTGCTATGAAAATGAGAAGACAAGCTACAGACAGGGAGAAAACATTTAAAAGCCACAAATTCAACAAAAGACTAGTGTCTAGAATATATAAAGGACTATCAAAGTTTAATGATAAAAAACAAAAAATCTAAATGGGCAAAAGACATGAAGAGGATATATGGATGGAAAATGCACAAGAAAAGGTATTTACGGTAAATAAAAGGTAATGACACCACCGAATGCTAAAAGAGATGCAGAGAAACTGATCACTCATACATTGCTGGCGGGAAAGGCACTGCAGCTCTGGAAAAACAGTTTGGCAGTTTCTTATAAAACTAGCCAATGTGCATCAGTTTGCTAGGGCTTCCGTAACAAATGACCACAGACTGAATGGCTTAAACAGCAGAAAGTTATTTTCTAGTAGTCCTGAAGGCTAGAAATACAAGATCAAAGCATTAACTAGCCTTATTTTGAGGCCTCTTCCTTGGCTTGCAGATGGCTGCCTTCTCAATGTGTCTTCACATGGTAGCCTCTTTGTCTGTGAGTTGTATTTTAAGCCCATCTTCTTATATAGACAACAGCAATAGGAGATTAAGGCCTAATCATATGACCCCATTTTATTGTAGTTACCTCCCTATTTCTGAAGTACTAGGGATTGAGGCTTCAAACATGAATTTTGGGAAGACAGAATTCAGTCCAAGGGACCATGCCATAATCATATAACATAACAATTGCATATAAGCTTTCATCCTAGAAAAAGTAATATTTGTCTTTAAAAAAATTATGTACATAAATGTTCCAGTGTTTAGCTATATTCCTATTAGCTAATCACAGGAAACAACTCAGGTGTCTTTCAAAGAGCAAATGGTCAAACAAACTGGTACAACCCATACCATAGAATACTATCCTATATAGTAAAGAGGTAATATGCAAATTGACCATCACTCCAACACACAAGATGGCCACCACAAGATGGCTAGCAGGGGAGGGCAGTTGGAAGGGACTAGGCCTGCAAGGGAAGGCAGTTGGGGGTGAACAGGCCTGCAGGGGAGAGCAGTTTGGAGTGGCCAGGTCTGCAGAGGAGGGCAGTTGGGGGTGACCAGGTCTTCGGGGGATGGCAGTTGGGAAGGACCAAGCGTGCAGGGGAGGACAGTTGGGGCTACCAGGCCAGCAGGGGAGGGCAGTTGGGGGGAAGAACAGGCCTGTAAGGGAGGGCATTTGGGAGGGGGACCAGGCATATAGGGGAGGGCAGTTAGGGGTGACCAAGCTGGCAGGGGAGGGCAGTTAGGGGCAATCAGTTAAGTGTTGATCAGGCTGGCTGGGAATAGTTAGGGGGTGATCAGGCTGGCAGGCAGAAGCGGTTAGGGTCAATCAGACAGTCAGGCAGGCAAGCAGTTAGGATCCAGCAGTCCTGGATTGTGAGAGAGATCAGGCCTAAATGGGCAGTTGGACATCCCTGGAGGGGTCCCAGATTGGAGATGGTGCAGGCTGGGCTGAGGGACACCCCATTCTGGGTACAAATTTCGTACATAGGGCCTCTAGTTCAGCAATAAAAATAAATGAATTATTCATATACATGACAACTTGGATAAATCCCCAGGGAATTATATTGAGTGAAAAATCCAATAATACCAATTATACTATGTGATTTCTTGAAATCATACTGTATGTTATTCTTGAAAAGATAAAATAGAAGTGAGAACAGATTAATGATTTCCAGGGATTAGGCTGTGAGCAGAGGGGGTTGGTAAAAGCTATGAAAGGGCAATATAAGGGATACTTCTGGTGATATAAATGTTCTATAATCTTGACTCTATCAACGTCAAACATTTTTTTTCTAAGTGTTTCATTTTGCTGTTTTTCTTAATGCATCTTGTTAGGTGTTTATTAATGATTTTGATCTTTCAAAGAACCAATTTTTAGTTTGTTATCTATTTTTCCCCCCATTGATATCTGCTCTTCTTTATATCATTCTGTTGAAAGCCTGTCTCTGAAAGCAGACTCTGTGATGGAGTTTGGCATAGTATATTTATTAAAGACTAGACACTGTGATGTACCTTGTTTTCCCGAAAATAAGACAGTGTCTTACATTAATTTTTACGCCCAAAGATGCGCTAGGTCTTATTTTCAGGGGATGTCTTAAATTTCCATGAAGAAGAATACGGTACACATTTATTGTTAAAGGAAAATAAAGGAAATTTTGTACCTGTATACGGTACGGTAGTACGGTAGTTGTCAACACAAACCAGACAAACTGTGAATCCTACAGTATCAAGAATTTACTCATTTATTCAATGACAATCATGTCATCATCTTCTGGAACATCATCATAACAATCTAATTCCTGAATTTCCTGGTGAATTTCTTGTGACTCCCATTTCTTTCAGAATCAATGGACCAAATCTCTCATGTTTAGCAATAGCATTCTAAGACATAGCCTAGGGGGGGGGGGGGCTTATTTTCGGGGGATGCCTTATATTTCCCTCAAAGGAAACCTGTAAGTAGGTCTTATTTTTGGAGGATGTCTTATTTTTGGGGAACATGGTAGTATATTTATTAAAAAGAGGAGGCTGAAACCTCATTGTTTAGAGGGGGAAAATTGTCATTGAGCCTGAAAAGGCTCAGAGCTTGAGGGATACTTAGGGGTGTCTGCACTGGTCTGAAATGTCCAGGACTATACACTTCAAGTGCAATCACTCGCTGCATATGAGCTGCCCAAGAAGAGCATGCCCTTGGGTGAGGAAGTTCTCTGCAACTGAGGCAAACCCTGGTGGAGTTGGACAGCCATGGGCTATCCACTAGATAGCTGTACAGTATATCTTCTTTGCTATTGATGGTGCATCTGACTGCACACCCCTGGATTCACCACCCTTTTCTTTCTAGTGCTCCCATTGCTCCATTTTGCATGGAATGTACTACTTTAAAGGAAGTCTCATGCAGTTAATGCATCTGGCCTAAAGTTCACTCTCTCTGGTAGAAGGTGGTTTTCTATATCATGTCTTGATTTAGCTCCTCATGGTCAATTAGTAAGCTATTATAAAAGACAAAGTTTTACTTCCTTCTGGCCAGCTGAGAGCAGGGGCACAGAAACAGAGAAGACTAAAGGAGGTTTAGACCATTTGCCATGGGCAGTGTTCTAGGGAATTAATAAAAAATGAATAAAGACCAGTAGTTATGTAGCTGCCCTAATCAACCTTAGAAATTTCTTTGATTAAAATATTCTTAGCTGGGAGCATATTTTATGTTAACATAGGTGCTATTTCAAATTAGTTCTATATTTACATATACTTTAATGGAAAAATACAGCTTTAATTTTCAAATTAGTCTATAGAGTTTAATGTTTGCTTGGTTTTAAAAAAAACATTATTAATTCAGGCTCTCCCATTATGCAATTTACTGCAAACACCCTTCAAGTGTCCAAAGGCAGACCACCTTTGCATATATATATATATATATATATATATATATATATATATATAATATATAATTGATTTTTTACAGAGAAGAAGGTTGTATGAAACACTAAAATGATACAGAGTTTGATCCAAAGTACAAGAACATTGAAATGGCTGACTAATGACTAAAGCAATTCTTACGTGCACAATTACTATGGGTTAGGGATGAGACATATGGGTAGAATTATAGAGAAATGCACATGTTTTTCCTGTCCATTTTACACCTGATCTGGAAAGCGTAATGATGTCTTTCATTGCTCCATGGTTCTCGAGCCAACACATTTTCAAGTCACCCACTCTTGCTCTCAAAGTAAATTATTTTTTTATGTGCTCCAGGCATGAAACAGCTCTGGCCACCAACCTAGGCTAGGATGAATTAGGGTCTGTACATCTGCTTCACCCCTCACTGATATAAGAGCAACACCACCAATCAGGAGTCTCTTTGCCCATTGCCAGGGGATAAAGTAAAAATAAACAAACAGGAAACTCCTCAAATCTAAACAAGTCCTGTGGTGTGAGAGAGGATTAATAAGCTGTTTCTATAGAGCATGCTGTCCCTGCTCATCTAGCAACATTGGGGATCCTGGAGGGAGCTCAGGAAAATCTGAAATCTTGTGAACCTGAATTGGAAGTAAAATTCATTCAATTTGATCCCCAGGGACCCATGTTTCCATACTATAGTCATTGCTCACGTTTATTTACATAGTATTAAAATTAAATGAACAATGTTTTATTATAGCTGTTTAGGTTTTGATAAATGACAAACAGCATTTTTCCCATCCAAACAGTGAAAGACATCAAATTCAGACATTAGAAGGGGGAAAACAACAAAACAAAAAACAACAACCGATGAGCTTGAGAGACTAACAGGAAGTGGGTTGATTCACTTCGGAATTGTGTTTATAAACAGACCAAATCAGATGGACTCTAAGCCAGGGGGTGGCCACATCTTGCTCCCATAAACACACAAGGCTCTAATCACCTTCAAATGACATCTTCCTGGCCTTTGTTTGTCTTTATGCAGAGTAAAGTCCATTGACTATTTATATTCCTGTCAGTTTAAAATTATGGGCCAGATTTGTGGGGCTTTTATTTTTAACAAAAATGTTGAAGTCAATTTATCTAACCCCGATCCTGCTGTCAAAAAGCTGTAACTACTGCAATGGCTGAGCGACTGCCTTGGATTATTAGTGAGCTGATGGCTTTGCTGCCTAAAAGTACAAGAGAGAGAGAGAGAGAGAGAGAGAGAGAGAGAGAGAGAGAGAGAGAGAGAGAGAGAGAGAGAAAGTATTTTAACTCCTTTATTAAAAGAAGTTTACATAAACCCAAAATTTTTCAAAAAGCGAAGGCATAATAAAGTATCCCATCTTTTCATGTCTAAGCTATTTGATTTTTTTTGTTAAGAAAAACAAATACACTTATTTTTTATTTTTTATTTATTACTGGAGATGATGGACACTTGTTCCCTGCCTTTGTGCACCAATCTGAAACTGATAAACCAGAGACTTCTGGATTTTCTGGGAGTAAGCATAGATCAGTTCCTGCCAGGTGGAGGAGGTTGTCAACTGTACAGCTTGGTGCAGTCAATGTCCACATCTCCAGCTCTTTGCAGAAAAGCAGACTCTGGTAAGAAAGATTAAAGCCAACATGTAATGACAGATTGAGCCAATACTTTATGTTTGGCTCAACTGTGTTTTTAATAGTGCACAGACAAACCACATTATGTCCAAATTTGGGGGCCAATATCTTACAGTTATAGAGTGTCAGATCCCACAAGGCTATTTTAAAATTACTTTCACTTACTTTTATTGGGAAACGACTGTGAATCACTTATAGAGTCATAAGTATAGAAAACCTATAAAGGGTATGATTGTTCCTTTAGCAATTATTTACTGACCCATGATCAGTATTCAGACTTTGTGTGAAAAACAAACAATACATAGGAAGGTGTCAAAGAAGTTACAAACTTATAGGGGAGATAAGAGGGGGGGGGGGAATTATACCATTTAAATATGTTTGTGTGATAACTGTCAGTCTCTGATGGATAAAATGATACATTATAAAGATCAAAGCATTAGGATCGTTAAGCCTCCAGTCAAGATAGCATTATGAGTTCAGAGTATAAAACTCTCTTTTCCGCTCATAAGCTTACCCAATGATAACTGCAGGTGCCCTACTAGACCCAGTAACTGCAATGAAGTGGAGGCAATTGGGAGAAGAGAAGCAGAATCCTCACCCAGGTCTATTCTACAGTAGACCTACTGAATCCTACTGGTGGTACTCGATTTCCCAAATACATAATCAGGATGGACATACTGAGCAACTGAAAAAAAACTTCACATTTATTGTTTGACCTGTGGAAAAGAGTAAAAAAAAGACCATTTTCTTGGAAGCCCCTGAAAATGTCCCCCTTTCTAGCCAAGACTGTAACTGTTAATTAAAAAATTTTCTATAAAGATGCATCCTTGGTGAAATAGCAGAAATTATTCTCTCTCTCTCTCTCTCTCTCTCTCTCTCTCTCTCTCTCTCTCTCCCTCCCTCCCTCCCTCCCTCCCTCCCTCCCTCCCTCCCTTCCTCCCTCTATCTTTCTATTTATCTCTCTCATATGTATATAAATGAGTTATATATATAATCCTTCAAAATATTTGGGATTAAGAGAGAAAGCATTGTTTAAAGGGACATTTATAGAAATGCATGCATATGTTAGAAAAAAATATTTAAAATCAATAATCTAAGCTTTTACCATAGGAATCTAGAAAAACAAGATCACATTAAATTTAACATGAGCAGTAGAAAAGAAACAATAAAAAGTAGAGCAGTGCTTTGCTGGTGGAGATCAATGGTTAGATCATCAGTAGGCAAACCAAAGCATTAAAGATTCGATTCCTGGTTGAGAGCGTGTATCTAGGTTGTAGGTTTGATTCCTAGCACTATTGGGGGCATGTGCGGATGCAACCAATCGATGTGTCTCTCTTACATTGATGTTTACCTTTCTCTCTCTCTTTCTGTCCCCCTCCGTCCTCCCTTCTACTCTCTCTAAAATTCAGTGGAAAAAATATCCTTGGGGTGAGGATTAACAACAACAAAATGCCCTCCTAATTTAAAACAACAAATAAAATACTCCCATAAAATTTTTAAAAAATGAAAATGGAAATGCCAATGTTATTAGACACTACAAATTGAATACAGAATTTAAAACCACAATAAGAGACTATTATATATTTTCCAGAATGGCGACATTTTAAAAAGCTAAAAATGCCTAGTGCTGACAAAGAGCTATCAAGCCATACGTTATCTCAGACATTCGTACTTTGCTGGTGAGAGTGCAAAGTGGTACAGCTACTTTGAAAACCAGGTTCTTATAAAAGTCAACATATACTACCTTATGGTATAACAATATGACTTCTATTTACCCAAGATAATTGAAAACATACGCACAAGAATGTTTATAGTAGTGTTATTCATAATTGCCCCAAACTGGAAACAACCCAGATGTTCATCATTGAGTGAATGAATAAATTATAGTCTATCAACACAATGGAATACTACTCAACAATAAACAGGAATGCAACAGCATGAAGGAACAATCAAAGCCTTATACTACATGAAAGAAGTCAGGTAAAACGCTATTAAATAGACAGTCCAATTGAAATGTAAATGAATGGTGTGGTCACTTTGTAAAATTGTGCATCAGTTGCTCAAGAAGATAAAACATAGTTTCCATATGAGCCAGAAAGTCCACTTGTAGGTATAGAGGCCCACAGAAATTTAAAACATATGCTCATATAAAAACTTTTACATGAACATTCATAGTAGCATTATTCATATTCAAAAAGTAGAAACAACTCAGATGTTCATCAACTGATCAATGAATGAACAAATTTTGAAATGAACATACCGTGGAATGTTATTCAGCCTTAGTGAAGGAATGGAGTACTGATACATGTTACCACTTGGAGAAACCTTGAAAACACTGTGCTAAGTGAAAGAAGCCTATATGAAAGGCCACACATTGTATCATTACATGTATAAGAAATATACAGAACAGGCAAATGAACAGAGATACAAAGTATATTAGTGTTTTCTAGAGTCTAGGAGTGGTGGGGAATGAAAAGGAACTGTTAATAGGCATGGGTTTATTTGTTGCTGTTTTGTTTTTAAATAGTTGAATATATTCTGGAGTCTCATTTGTTATAGTAGTACAATGTTTCATATGTAATAAACACCACTGAATTACACACTTAAAAGGGATGAATTCTAGGTATGTGAATTAAATAGCTATTATTTTTTTAAATGTGATTTTATTTATATGATGAGCTATAAAAGACAAAAATCTTTTCATAGTAACAGAAATCAAATCCCAAGGCCCGAGAGTTGGGGGAAGGGATTAACTAAAAAAAAGGGGGGCATGGAAAGACTAGAGTAATGACAAATTCTGCATTTTCATTGTGTTGTTGGTTGTATAACTGAACTTAACCAAACCGCAATGAAAACAAGAGAGAGAATGAAGATATTGTCTAAACCCGTGATCGGCAAACTGAGGCTCTCGAGCCACATGAGGCTCTTTGGCCCCTTGAGTGTAGCTCTGCCACAAAATACCATGGCCTGGGCAAGTCTATTTTGAAGAAGTGGCATTAGAAGCAGTTTAAGGTTAAAAATTTGGCTTTCAAAAGAAATTTAAATTGTTGTACTATTGATATTTGGCTCTGTTGACTAATGAGTTTGCCGACCACTGGTCTAAACCATATGTCACAGATACTAAACTCCTGGTTATATTTTTTGAACCAATAGAAGAAAAACAGGAGCTTAGGCTTCCCAGAGTTCTAAGTGCTTCTTCTCGGACCAATGCTTTTAGATCTGTGACTTTGGTGTGACTCTTACTCTCTATGAGCTTCAGTGTCTTTATCTGCAAATTGCTAGAGAAAGACATAAAAAAAAGTGATTAATGATGATGAGCTATCCATTACTTATCAGAGACTAAGCTGAACACTTTTTAAATATTTAACTCTAAAAATATCTACAGGTAGGGTAAAAAGAGAGCAGAACTTTTATAAAATGTATAAGTTTAGAAAATGCAAGAATAGTTGACATATGTACTCTACCCAAACATTTGAAAGCATCATACAAAAACATCTCAAAGCAGCCTGCTTGGGGTGGAGGATACTTAGTGACAAGTGTGGTTCCCAGAGAAACATTTTTCTGATGGAAAGATGACTCTTGCGAGGTTTCAGGAGGACTGTGAATAGTTGAGGAGGCTGACACCGGCTTATTTTCTGTTTTGAATGTGGAAGACAGATGAAACTCATGCCAGGTATAACTGATAGCAACTTAACACCCAATATCTAGTCAATTAATGAGAGCTGAACTCAATTAGCACAGCTCATGGGAGTGACTCCTTGGGTTGGGAGCAGTTAGGGGTGACCAGACCAGTTTTATGTGGACAGAGCAGCTTGGATCAGCT